ACACACTTAAGTAGTCTACACGTTGAAAAAGTGCACTTTGTAATGTCAATTTATAATTTTTACTTTAGAATGCATTGTTTTAATAATCTATTGTGCTTTAAAGAAGTACACTTATTTTGATGCGTTGACTAACTTTAAAAAAACACATGTAAAGTTTTTTTTAATTTTTAAATCTTATTTTAAATCTATTTTAAATGTACCCATATCTTTAAATGTACAAATATCTTTAAATACACAACATACAAATTTAAATAAAAATGCCATTAAATTAGATTTTTAGTTTACTATGGTTAAGTGTACAAAGTTTCTTTACAACTCCATATTCAACAGTACACTTTAACCATATTTCAAAGACAATAGAATTATGAAATTACATATAAAGATGTACTTACGTCCTACTAATGTGGGCCAGCAAATCACTCTTTAAGTTCAGCTAATTGCATTAAATATAAATGTATACATTTATAAATAAATCTAATACATTTTAATTTAATTGTAAAAAAAACATGCAGTTACTGTAAATCCCTGAAAACGTTTTATTCTTTTATTATTATTTATGTAATAAGTATGCTAAAGTGTATTTCTTTTTCACAAGGGTCAACAGTGCTGTTTTCTACAGATAAATATAAACCAGAGTACTTTAGCTGTCTCTTCATATTGTATATGGCATGGCATGTGACAGCACATCACAAGACAGTAAAAGGGCCGGATGTGACAGTTTTTGCCAAAACAGATCAAAACATTCTCATAACAACCAAAGTTCAGCTGTATAATTGGATTGTAAAATCTTTTGTGTTTTCATTATATATCCATACTTGTTATATATTCAAATAAAATGTTCCCTCATCCACTCTCCTGACCTGTGCTGCACATATTTCAGCCTTTTCGAGGATAAAATAGCAAATTGTCTCAGTAGAATCTGTTTCCTCAGGCCAAACACAAGCGTTTTCTGGGCCACTCGGCCCACCTGACCAACATCCGCTTCACCAGTGGGGATCGCTTCGTCGTCAGCGCTGGAGGCGATGATAGGAGGTGTGTGTTCAGTTGTGTTCCTCACAGGCACCCATCTTGCTGTACTTTATCATTCTTCCTCTTTAAAATCAGCATATAGAGACAGATTCAGCGTTTGATTCTCTGTTACAGCTGCAGGATCGAATCCAAGTTGTCAGTTTAGTTTCACTTTTTACAAAAGGATTAACACATTTTATTCTGTTCTGTTGACTCAAAACGGTGTAATATGTAATGATATAAAAGTATTTTATAAAAAAATCTCACTGACCCCAAACTTTTGAATTGTAGTGCATGTATATAATTATTTCAGAAAGACACATGACTGACCCAGGCAAAATTTGGATCCAAAATGATATTTTTGCAATATGTGCTAATGCAAAGTGAAATTTTAAATGAATGAATGAATCAATCAATCAATCAATCAATCAATGAATCAATCAATCAACGAATGAACCAATCAATCAATGAACGAATGAACCAATCAATCAATCAATGAACGAACCAATCAATCAATGAACCAATCAATGAACGAATGAACCAATCAATCAATCAATCAATCAATGAATGCATGAACGAATGAACCAATCAATCAATCAATCAATGAACCAATCAATGAACCAATGAACCAATCAATCAATCAATCAATGAACCAATCAATGAACGAATGAACCAATCAATCAATCAATGAACCAATCAATGAACGAATGAATCAATCAATCAACCAATCAATGAACAAATGAACCAATCAATCAATCAATGAACCAATCAATGAACGAATGAACCAATCAATCAATCAATGAACCAATCAATGAACGAATGAACCAATCAATCAATCAATGAACCAATCAATGAACGAATGAATCAATCAATCAATGAACCAATCAATGAACAAATGAACCAATCAATCAATCAATGAACCAATCAATGAACGAATGAACCAATCAATCAATCAATGAACCAATCAATGAACGAATGAACCAATCAATCAAGCAATGAACCAATCAATGAACGAATTAACCAATCAATCAATCAATGAACCAATCAATGAACGAATGAACGAATCAATCAATCAATGAACGAATGAACCAATTAATGAACGAATGGACCAATCAATGAACGAATGAACCAATCATTCAAACAATGAACCAATCAATGAACGAATGAACCAATCAATCAATCAATGAACCAATCAATCAATCAATGAACCAATCAATGAACGAATGAACCAATCAATCAATCAATGAACCAATCAATCAATGAACGAATCAATCAATCAATGAACCAATCAATGAACGAATGAACCAATCAATCAATCAATGAACGAATGAACCAATCAATGAACGAATGAACCAATCAATGAACGAATTAACCAATCAATCAATCAATGAACGAAGGAACCAATCAATCAATCAATGAACGAATGAACCAATCAATCAACGAATGAACCAATCAATCAATCAATCAATGAACGAATGAACCAATCAATCAACGAATGAACCAATCAATCAATCAATGAACGAATGAACCAATCAATCAATGAACGAATGAACCAATCAATCAATGAACGAATGAACCAATCAATCAACGAATGAACCAATCAATCAATCAGTAAACGAATGAACCAATCAATCAATGAACGAATGAACCAATCAATCAATGAACGAATGAATCAATCAATCAATCAATCCCAAATGTACAATGAAGAAAACTAGTACCGTAGGGAATCAGTTGGGTCAATTATAAAGTTGACTGTAGAATGCTGTCATGAACTAATCAGAATCAAGTATTCCTGGTAGCTGTAATAAAAGGAGTGTTATTAATGTTGTTGGAAACTTTCCCATTCATAATGTAACATGTTCTCTGTGTATGTTCTATAGCCTGTTTGTATGGCGGTGTGTCCACACTCCTCACTGAGGGCATGCGGTCTCGAAACATCACGAAGCCCAGCTGACGGGTCTCGGGTCACATGACTGCTCTGTGACCGGATGCATGTTGTTCACCCATACCTGAACTCAACCGTTTTTGAATGATAGTTGGGCTAACGTGTCACAAGACCCAACGTACAGTAAAAGATCTGTCAGATGTGTAAGTGTTTACCCCTCATGTTTTTTTTCTTCATTTTTTTAAAAGAAAATCTTGAGCTACAAGATGCAGAACGTAATTATCCATGATTTTCTTCCAAATGAAAAAGAACTTGTAGCAAGCAAAAGTACGATTAGCCTTAAACTACCCGTCGAGTGTTTTTTCATTTTTTTTTTGTTCATTTAGGTGTGGAGTTTCTCATTTGATATTGAGTGTTGTGTTTCTTAATGTTGGTTTAGTTTGGTGATTCTCTCTGAGGTTTAATAGATCTCCTGTGGCCTTCTCCCTGAATGTAACACTGGCGTTATATTCTAGGATGTCAGCATGCCAAAGCATTCTATGCACTGTATACTTGACCTGCTCACTGTGGTTGTCCAGTGGTCTTTTAATGTTGATCTTGAACGTGGTCTGATCTCCCTTAACAGTAGATACACTCCTAACCTCATATGTAGCAGCTTTAGCTCGATTAGTGAACTTGAGATGTCTGTTTGTGTGAGTAGGAATGAACCGTATGCTTCGTGTTTCATGTCTGAGATCAAAGTTTAAAAAAAAAAAAAAAATGGTGATGCAATCCCTCAGAAAATGAATGAAAAGGGTTTGTTTCAATGCTGTCTTATCTGAAATCAGTTCATCTTGCTGCTGAAGCCTTTATAACATCACATTCATTTTTGATTAGGAATCAGTTTGTTTTTTCATTTGGTTTTACTCAGCTGGATCGTCGTGAAGATGTTCTCTCCTTCAATGTATCACTCTGATTGAAAGAGATGCATATTATGATTTTCTTATCAATGTAAATATCATTTGTAAAGACATTCTTTTGTATATTTTTGTGAAATGTTTCTTAAAAGCCAACTTTAATAATAAAAAAAGATGTACATATATGACACGTTCATGTAAAACACTGTCACAGTTATTGAATTGTCTCGTTCAACAGATTGCTAGTTATTGAAATCTTACTCGTTCTGAAGTGACGTGGACTGATTGTTCTGGGTTCAATACAAATCTGTGACATATTATTGATTATCAGAGTAAATATAGGCCTGGTTCCACAGACCGGGTTTAGATTAAGCCAGGATTAGGCCTGATTTAGGACATTTAAGCGGCTTTCATGCCTTAGAAAAAAACATTACTGCTGTGCATCTTGAGACAAAACAATGACATATTTTAAGATATATCAGTGCAAGTTGCTTTCAGTTAAAACAGCTCAAACATGTATTTTAGTCTGAGACTAACTTAAGCCTCGTCTGTGAAACCGGGGGATAGTTTACAGTAATGTACTTAAATGAGGACTGAGTCAAAGGTCTTTTCTTAACTTGTTTTGAACCAGGAACATTCCTCTCAAATCTATTGACCGTTTTATTGGCTTTGATCATCATCTCTCAAGGAAAAGACTTTGTTAGCATAAAAAAAGGAAAATAATTGCACACTATGATACAGAACTTCCTTATGACCTAGATAATATGATACTTGCAGTTTACTGAATGTTATAACGCAATCAGGATGCTTTTCAATTCATTTGTATGATTAATGCAAAATATACGTCATTACTTGCATTCCTCCAAACACTGATTCAAACCACATAATAACTGGCAGAATATTCAAAGTTTTTAAGAATAATCTCAACAGGCAATGGAAAATTATATCATCTTATAACTTTATTAGAAATATATGTACAATCTCCATTATATACAACACACTAAAGTAACATCTGTAGGTTCTGATTTTTTTTTCTCTTTTCTTTCATTATGTCATCAGTGGTCATATCAATAAGTTCAAACATACTATATATCAGAATCTCTCACGTTATTAGCTAATTCCTAAGCTTCTGGCTGATTTTAAAGAAGCACATAGCCTGCATGCATTAACAACTTGATGAACTGCACCGCTGTGCTGGAGAGAGAGAGAGAGAGCGTGTGTCAGAGCTTCACAGAGAAGGACGAGCCGCACGAGCAGCCGTGTTCAGCCTGTGGGTTCTTCAACACCTGGAAAGAAGAGCGGATGAGCTCCTGACTGAAGTCGACAGTGGATCCCTTCACAAACTCCAGACTGTCCAGGTCGATTATTATCCCAACACCATTCTTCTCAAACACTCTGGAAAGAAGGAGACAGAAATAAATGCAAGAGATCAACAAAAATTCATTTCATTAAACATCATCCATATTGGATTTCTGTGGTATGAACTCTTAAGACTTTTGATCTGGTCAAGTCAGCTTTATTTATATAGCGCTTTATACAATACAGACTGTTTCAAGTTGAAGTTTTATTAGCCATTTGTACCAGTACAGCTAGTACAAGTACTTAAGAACTACCAGAACTACACACAATAAATAGACTTTGAGAAGGTACAGTAAACAAAGAACAGTATAAACCTACGTCAAACAAACACAAAAAAGATTATTACCTCCATATCGGAGTATGTATTTCCCTGTATTCAAGTATTTGAAAGCAGCTTTACAGTGATAGCAGGGAAATTATGCATTTCGGCTGTTGTTCAGTGTTGAAAGTAACAGTATTTGGCACAAATCTCACATTCTTCAGAGAGAGAACTATTAACGCTGATTTCACCTATGGATTTCACGCTGCCGCCATTTTGAAATCGCTCCGGTGGGAAGAAAACCGGAAGTGTCGCCTTTAATCATAGGAGAGTCGCGAATGCGATGGCGTATTGTTATTATGATTATATAGAAATTAGTTATTCTAAAAATGTACATACATTTCTTTCATACTTTAGACTATATACACTGAAATTAATTTATAATTTTTTTATTTTATATATATATATATATATATATATATATAATTCAGAACGTAAAAAAAGAAGCAGGAACGAACTATATACATATCCTATATTGGATATTAACATCCAATAGTGTAAATCGCGGCAGCAGCTTCAGGTTGGTAGTCCAAGGCATTGTTGTCTATCTGTACTTCCGGGGTTCTTCCCACCGGGGCCTCGCTTTCGATTTCATTATGGTGGCTGCGTGAAATCTGCGAATTAGAAATGTTAGATCAACTAGATACAATTAAAGGGATAGTTCACCCAACAATGAAAATCCTGTCATCATTTACTCGCCCTCGTGTTGTTCCAAACCTGTATGAGTTTTTTTCTTCTTCTTTTGAACACAAAAGAAGATATTTTGAAGAATGTTGGTAACCAGACAGTTGATGGTAGCCATTGACTTCCATAGTTAAAAAAAATAAAAATACCATGGAAGTCAATGGGTGCCATCAACTGTCTGGTTACCAGCATTCTTCAAAATATCTTCTTTTGTGTTTTACAAGTTGCAAGTTTTACATTGATTAGAAGTCTCTACCCTTATCCTTAAAATGGAACTCTCACATCCTTATCCAATATTTATAGAAATAATCAAAATAATAATAATACAACAATATTACAATATATTGACATTAAAAAATATTTTAATTTAGCAATTAAATTAAAATATATTTTTAATTATGTTATTACAGCTCAGATTCTTTCTACAGCATCAACCTTGTTCCTAAAGATTTTGTATATAAAATTATCAAAGTAAATTATCAAAGTCCAATAACTATTTATTCTAATTGATAATAATTAAATCCTAGATTATCTCATCTTTGTTTATTAAATGTTTATTGCCAGAAAATAGCAAAAAAAATGGCTCCAAACTTCTTGCTAAACTCATATGAAATGCATGCAAATAATAATATAATATTAACTTGCTGAGGTTGAGTTTCTGAGCAAGTTAAGCGCCTCCTTTGACTGAGTCTATGTTGGAAAAAATGACTTTTTCACGTTTTTCAAGCCCTGTTTGAGAAAAGTGCCAACAAACTGATTTTTGTAATTACCTGTCATCTTCATTTCTAACAGCGTCCACCGCAAATTTATACTGGAATCCTGAACATCCTCCTCCCTCCACTGCTATCCTCAGATACTGTCCCTTATCCAGAATCTCAGCAAGCCTCTGCAGGAATAACAAAAAAAAAAGGCATTTTGATGTGATTATTATAATTAATTGTTGTTGTCAATGTCAAGTACGAAGCTTCTTTTTCTTTCTTTTTTGTTACTGCCTAAAATGTGATCACTGAAGTATATAGGATAAAGTGCCGTGAGTTCAAACCTTGACACAGGATTGACTGAGAAGAAGGTCATCAGCTGGGATGGCGGAGTCTAGCTGCGGTTTGCTGTTGTGGCGCGCATGCGCAGTGCAGCTGAGAGGAGCTGAACATCTCGCTGTCTGAACTCTGGCCGAGGAAATGCTGGACGACAACAAACACACGTGACATACCGAACTGCTGTACACACAATGCCCTTGACTTGACCGAGTTTCGATATCCACAGCATAGTATTGTGGCTGTATTCATTTCCAAATAACTATTAAACAAACTAAAGCTTAGTTAAGTTTGGGCTAAATGTGTGTAACAGAACGGAGAAGATTCTGTTACACATGCCTTGAGCTCGTTTGTAAGCAACTGCAAACAAACGAGTAATTTCACCGTAAATAATTTACATGAGGAGATTATATGTCGACTCCATAAGTGTTCATGTTCTACTTTTAGTTATCAAATGTTGTCATCTGTGCCGTTAGCTCAGTCGCAAGTCAACCGTTAGCTAGCTAGCTAAGCTAAGCTACCTGCAATAGCTATTAACTGAAGAACAGGTACCAAACACAGTCACTTTATATTAGACAATACATTTATCACTGACATTTCGCTAATTTGTGCATACTTGAGAAGTTGAAATGACGCTGATCTAGGTGCGCTTATGAGCAGTCTTCTGGCGAATGACATCTTCTATAACTCGGATTCTACTGCGCATGCGCATGACGGAGTTATCGCCAGTGGGTTGCCAGGTTCAGTTATTAAACCCTTTATTTGTTTTAAGGAATTTACATGTTAATTTGTAAAAATAAAGACTTATAAGTTGGTATTGAAAGGGTTTCAGTCAGTAAATAATAATAATGAAACTTTTTATATATAAAAAAAACGTTTTAATGATCGGTAAAAAAAGAAGAAGGTCTAATTAGTATAGCTCCAAGATGTAATGTTTCTGACATTCTAGCTGGCAAAGGTTTCTGGCTTACCTTTCTGATGCAGCTTTATGTCACAAATGCATATACAATTGACAGCTGTCACTTATCAAGTTCAATGTGCATTTATTTTTTTCTACAAACGTACATGTTAAGTTTTATTGGCAAACAAATGACTTATTATTAGTGTAAAAAGAGCCTGCTGTGAATGATAAACTCTTATTTATATAGAAAATACATAAACTGATATCTGTACCTTTAATTATGACTAAAATATGCATCAAATATGCCAGATTTGACCTCTGTAAAGTATCTCAAAGACATATGCTAAATTTAATACAAACAGGGTCATTCTTTAACTGGAGTGGCAAATGAGAGGCAGAATTTGTAAAATGCTTTATTTCTTAAATCTATATTCACAACATAGTTAATTTTTTTGTGTTAAAATGTTAAATTGTTGCATTTACACCAAGATATATCTTAGTATATATATAAAACACTTTTAAGAATGCACTTTTTTCACCCTACGGAATACAAAGATGCAAATATTTTATGATGTATTGGTTTTAAAAGTTTATTTAAGCTGTTTCAAAGTAGATGGACACCGCTTGCCACCACAAATGAAGAATAACCCATCAACAACTTGAAGAAAGAAACGTTTTGGTGTTGTTTTACTTCTCTTTATTATTTACTCTAGCCTGAAATAGGGGTTTTGATATATCTGGCAACAGAATGCTCTCCTTGTTTCGGATCATTTCCATGAGTCACTGCCATTGGTTAAGAGTTCACCAAGAAGGCGTGTTCGTCATAAAGACGCCCATACAAACAGTATTTGATTGGACGAGTCATTCTGATCTCGTGACAAGGAAATAGTGTGTGCAGGAACAAACTGGGGTCTGAAGGAACTGGTGTGTAAGCAACCGATTAAATAAGTTGTAAGTGTTTTAACGTTTGAATTGAGCGTATTTTGTGAGTTTTCTGTGTATTCATTAGTAACGGTAAAATTCATCTTCACGAGGAAGTTTACCGAAACTCCGCAGAGATTGACGGTCATGTGATTGACCGATGTAAGTTCGTGTTTGTGATGTTCTCTGTCAGTCAGGTAACGTTAACGTTAGTTTGTTGTTTCTCCACAGGATTCGTCTGAACCATGGGTTACAGCATGATCTGCGCTGTTTTACTCTCTTTTCTCGCCTACACTCATTCTGAGCCGGTGAAATTTGTGGACTGTGGCAAGTACTCATGTTTATCAAGTTTAAATTAAATAAAAATGTCGTCATTTAATCACCCTCAAGTTGTTCCGAACCTGTATGAATTTCCTCAAAAGGAGATATCTTGAGGAATATAGATCACTAAACATTTGATGGGCCCCATTGACTTCCATATTGGGAATATATATATATATAAGGAAGTCAATGGGGTCCAACAACTGTCCGGTTAAGTTACCAACATTCTTCAAAATATCATCTTTTGTGTTCAACAGGAGAAAGAAACTCATACATTTTTGGAACAACTTGAGTGTGAGTAAATGATGACAGAATTTCCATCTGTGGGTGAACTATCCCTTTGACAAATTAAATCTATATTGTTTTTGTTCCTTTTTCAATCTTTCCTTTTCCTTACAGGGTCAGTCGAAGGAAAAGTTGTTGGAGTTGACATTCAGCCCTGCTCACAACAGCCATGCCAGCTTCACAAGGGACAGTCCTATGCGGTCAATGTAACCTTCAGCAGCAGTGAGTTGCTTTATATGTCTAGTAGCAGCTCCAATCTTAATTTAGAAAAACAACAACTTGTTTGTATTTCCCATAGCTGTTGCGAGTCAGACCAGTAAAGCTATCGTTCATGGAGTGATCGCAGGCGTCCCCGTCCCCTTCCCAATCCCTATTGATGATGGTTGCAAGTCTGGAATTCAGTGTCCTATTGTTCCACAAACAATGTACAGCTACGTCAACCAGCTGCCCGTCAAGAGCGAGTATCCAACAGTAAGTGTTTAAGTTCCTCATCTATCTAGTTCTGAACAGTGCTTTAATGTCACAGGCATTCACTTCCTTATTTTGTTGCTTTGTTTATTAGATAAAACTGGTTGTGGAATGGGAATTAAGAGACGACTCCAACAAAGATTTATTTTGCGTCAAGTTCCCAGTTCAGATTGTGAGCTGAAGGCCAACACTGAAGCCAAGATGAAAACGCTTACAAAGGGATACAATTGTTCCTAAACACCTTTCTATGGACCTTTTAGATCTAATATTAGTAGACACCGATTTTATGATTTATACTACTTTTTTCCCTAACGCTGACAGATGTTATTTTAACATTATCTTTGACTATGCACACAGTGCCACTTTGCAAGCATTGCCTAATTCTAGTTTGTTGCTAAATTGCGTCAATGATTCACCAGAACGAGACGCTGACGGGACAAACACTGGTCAGTGCCGGTGATTAAATCAAGTGTGCACTAGCTGCTGTGTGGCTACAGTGTTGTAATGTTTCTAATCAAACTTTCTTTGAGCTAATAGTTGTCAAGTAGTAACTTTTTACCAGCATTTTTAAATCTGCATATTTAATAAAGATTGCATCTTAAAATGAGCTTATTTTTATTAAAACATCGGCGAATGTAGCCACTTTTTACATGCAACGTTACTGAAGTAAACAGTTTTTCTTTTCTTTATGGTAAACAATGATTTTTGATTTTCTTCTGTGTGAGGATTTTGTCCAGGATGTAAAAATAGGGAAAAATGTAAATATTCCTACAGGGTACCCACACCTTTTGACCAGTGATTATTTATCCAGTCATTATTTTCTAGTCCTTCATCATTAAAAAAATAAAACCATAAAAGTAATACAAAATGATTTACATTCCGTTTTATTATTGTGGTTTAATCATGACCGACTAGAAAATAATTTAAAAGGAATTGGTCATAAGATGTAGGAACCCTGTATATATTCATTATACACCCTTCTATGATGATTTTAAGAGTCAGGGACACTGTATTTAGTGTTTTTCAACTGAATTCCAGTTTAAGTAAATCACACAATACTATCTGTGTAAAAGGCTCAAACAAATCAATGTAAAGCTGACAGTGCTGTCTCTACAGCTAAAGATCTTTTTATTTGAAGTTTTGTCTATTAAAGCGATCTGTTCACTGTTTCTCCTTTCTGGGTCAGGTGTCTTGCTTCAGTTTCAGTTCTGCTTTCTCAGTCAGCAGTTTTTATATTCCTGTTGAGAGGTCATGTGTTTGAGAGCTGGCGGTTACTAGGTCAATTTTTTCCCCCCAATATGTTATACATTTATCAAGAAGAATTTGTGGTTGACTTTTACTGTTTGCATATTGAACATTATCAATAATTTGGTTATCTTTTGTTAAACTTGCTAAAAGAAACACCATTGTCTTTAAATGTATAGTTCACCCAAACATTATCATTAATCACTCGCCCTCATGTCGTTTCAAACCTGTAAGACGTTCCGTTTATCTTCAGAACACAAATTAAGGTATTTTTAATATAATCTGAATTATTTTTGTCCCTCAATTAACGGCTACGCAACTACCACTTTGACGCTTCAATAAGTTCATGAAGAGATCGTAAAACTAATCCATATGAATCAAGCGGTTTGGTCCAAATTTTCTGAAGAGACACGATTTATATGATGAACAGATTGAATTTAGGCTTTTATTCACATAAACATTGATCAGCGAAACAAAAATGCTTGAGCTTCCGTTCACCACAACTGGACTGTTGATGAAAGTTTATGTGAATAAAAGCCTAAATTCAGTGTTCATCATATAAAGCGATCGAGTCTCTTCAGAAAATTTGGAATAAACCGCTCAATTCATATGGATTAGTTTTACGATCACTTTATGAACTTTTTGAAGCGTTAAAGTGGTATTTGTGTAGCTGTCAATGGAGGAACCGAAAGCTCTTAGATTTCATTAAATTCCACATTTGTTTCAAAGATGAATGATAGTCTTAAGGGTTTGGAACGAAATTTTTGGGTGAACTATCCCTTTAAATAAATGCTAAAGCAAGCAGAATGACACTATATGGCTACAAAACTGAATCACCAAACCACAGTAACATCTGAATGTGTGCTTTTTATTACAAGGAAACAAAAGCAAGCAACTTTTTTTTTTTAGGTACAGAAGTTATTTGTGCCATGTACATCACACACTCGTACTTTCCTCTTGGTTGTCTGAGCAAACTTTCTTTAAATAAGGATGCTTTTTTTTGGGACAGAGATAGTGTATTGTGTTGCACAGGAATTTCTCAAAACCAGAGGACCACTTGTGTTCATTGGCCGTTTTCATCTGCCTTATCCAAAACCAGCTGGAAACACACATCAATTTCACAGGCATGCTAAAGATGGCCAAAATAAAAATAACATGAGGTAGAAACCCATCATACAGAACTTCCTGTATGCATGATTTAAGATTTAAATGCTGTTCTAAACTTAAAAGAAATGGAATGTAACTTTGTAGCATTTTTTTACGCAGTCCTTTCAAACAAATTCAGAAAATGGCTGCTGCTTTACCTTTAGTGCAATTCTGCGCAGTATTGATATGTAGTGTTGTTTTAACCAGTCAATCAATAGTTCTACATAACATAAACTTTCGTCGTCAAAAACAATAAATCATTTATAAATGCCGATACATATCATTTGATATGATATAGAACTATAGGAAACCACAAGAAATGTCCCTCTCATTACAACAAAAAGCTGAGCATTGACCTCCATACAAACATGCTGTAATGAAATTGCGGGGAAAGATTCTGCTCGACTCATAAATCAAATCAATAAAAGTATAAAGCTTCGGTTTCAGTGCTAAAATGCACCTTTTTTTAAGAAACCGCATGACAAATGTCTTCATTTTCTTCAAAAATGCTTTTTTTGAAAGGGGTGGAGGTGGATGGATATCACCACCATGTTTTGGCTCATCAGTCCTTTCTCCTGTTTTTGACAGATTAAGAAAGAAAACAAGGAAGCAATAGACATATCCTTACAGTCACAAATGGAGTTTGATACATTATCAATAGCAAGCGAAGAGAAGAAAGTGAATGTATCAGGATATTTTTTTCAGACAACCACTTTCCTGTAGACAGGTTAAACTAGACATTTGAATGAAAGTAGTAAGGCATCTGATATGTTTTTAATGACAATACTTTAAAGAACCATGCTGACGGAAGAACAGTATGGAGCTCTAAAACTCATTTTGCAGGACCCAGTTAATACAAAATAATATCACTTGTATGTTAACATAAAAGATTTTAGTTCAAACATTTACCCATAGTCTTTGAAACCGCACATGGCTATTTCTGAGGGTTATTCCACTTGCCTAAACGTTAAAAAAACAAAACAAAAAAACTGAGTATTCATCTGGGCCCACTGTGTTATAGCATTGCCTCCAATGATACCTCTCTAAATTATAGTAAAATACTTTAAAACATCACAGGCAAGTCAGTTTGTCAAATGAACACCAAGACGGTCTGTTAAAACATATCATAGGCTAAAAACTGATAAAGGTACCACTGATGCTTTAAGCTGAGAGCGGCGCAGGACTTGATAGAACCGTTAGCAAGCAAAGATATTCTGAACGATACTGAACCCCTCACTGTCCATTTTGTTTGAGCCTCTCCAGTCTCTGTAGCAGAGCATTTCCAAACGCTTCTCTATATCCAGGGCTGAGGGAATCCAGCAGTGAGTAAACAGTCTCATGATACTGGGTGTTCAAGCCCTCGTCCACCTGATCAAAGATGTAGCCCACCACCTGACAGACAACAAACACAAGATCCCACAGGTTAAACATCTCGGATTTCTCACTTTTCATCTGTGATCCCCAGCGGTCAAAACTGACACAAGAAATGGTGTAACATTTAAAAAAACGAAAGAAATTAATGTACTATATTTTGTATTCTGAGGGGAATTCATGGTGCTAGACAATATTCACCTCTAAATTATGCAACAAATAGTTCTATACCATCTCCAACTGATACAATGTTTAAAGCAACACCAAGTAACTTTTCCTCTGCGGTCGCCCTACAGGTTGGAAGCGGAATTGTCCATTACCGCTGTCGTAAATAATTTAGCCTACCGCATCCATAATGTCGCACGCACGCTATGTGTTTATCCAGCACCGGCTTTGCAATGAACGATGTCCACTAGGGCTGTTGGAACGAATTCCGAAATTCGAATATAATTCGAATATTAAAAAAATCAATACTATTCGAATGCTGAAGTTACTATTCGAATATTGTTTTTTTATGTATATTTTAATTTTTTTATATATATATAAACAGGAAAGAGGCCACACTATGCATAAATTGTTTTATTTGCACAAACGCGTTTCAAGAAGGCACGCGCCGAAACGCGTTTGTGCAAATAAAACAATTTATGCATAGTGCGGCCTCTTTCCTGTTTAACGTTATATATTCTAATCATCAGGCCAGCATTCTTAAAGTTTAAGTTTAATCATTGAGTGAAGCCTGGTCCTATTCCCATTCATTAATTTTTTTTATATGGAATCTTGCCTTTCTCGCCACCTTGACTTACACACATGTGAAAATGAAATGCTTTTGTTTCGTCTGATGAACAATAACGTTTTTGAATCGTAACACAATTGTGCACGTTATCCACGCTGTATCATCATAACAATACAGTCAAAAATGGTAAATGTTTAACAACGTAAAAAAGCGCCCGTGAAGCGCAAATATCTTGGTGAAAACGCAACGGATTCGGCGAGCACCAAACTCGTTGGAACCGTCTAGTCGAACTGAAAAGAACGATATAAGTTTCTGAATTTTTGGTGGTGTTTTAGCGGAGATATTAGCCGAAAACCATCGGTAGCGCTTCAACCATATTCAGCACGAATAAAATGTTTATTGTAATGTTAGATATCCCTCTAGTGGACAGAACGTGTAACAACAACCACATGCTATAGTGGCATTGGCGATCCATAAGCCTGAGTAATGTCGTAAATATTAATAATAGGATGAATTTGAGCATTTAATATTCGAATATTATTCGAATATTAAATAAAATAAGGAATGGAATTCGAATAGTATTATAGAGGAAGATTGACAGCCCTAATGTCCACAGACAAGGTAGAGTATGTTGCATGACTTCATGAAAGTATGATGTATTGCGACATCAGAAACGAAGAAAAACAAAATATTGTAACGCTTGACGTAAAGCAAGCCAAATTTGTAGTTTTGTAGTTTGTAGTCTCATTAGAACTACAGAAACGCGACCCGATCTGGCAATCTTACATAGCGTGGTTATTAAGGGTGTCACGATTTCCATCTTAAATCGAAATTAAATTTTTTTCGAATCGATCGAATTAAAAAATGGAATCGTCGATGCTGCCACGCCCCCATGTCACGTCCGGTCGGCGTGCCAAGCGGGAAAAAAACACGCGTGTTGAAAAGCTGCGAGTCTATGGTCAACCTCCTCTAACTTAGCTACATCCATTCAAAAGATAGCATGGCAACTGCAGATGCAGGAGACCCATCGACAGAACTTGAACCCCCTCCTCTTTCATTGAAGTCGCAGGTGTGTACGTTTTTTGGATTTCCAGTGAGTTATGTTGACAACGTTCGCGCTTCAAAAAAGCCACAGTTTACTTTGCAGACATCCCAAGTCTCGCGGAAGTTCCTGGAGTCTCCTGCATATTGATAGCGGCTCCCTGATGCCCGCAAATTAGTTAAAATCTCCCGGAATCTCTAGAGTGAGCGAGCGAGCAAGAGCGCGCAATCGCGCATGCGAGACAGAAAAAACTGTGCTCCAAACCGTATAGCGCGCGCACGGGAGAGAGCGAGAGATCTTGCGTATGTGCCTCATGAAGCGCATGTAAGACAGAGAGAGAGCATCCTGATTGGCCGGTTTCGGCTTTAAAAACATAAATGTAAAAATCGAGAATCGAACCGTGACCTTAGAATCGAAAATTTAATCGAATCGAGGATTTGGAGAATCGTGAAACCCCTAGTGGTTATAGCAGATATAGGACCGCAAAGCGGAGGCATAAGTCCCTTTCACCCTGTTACGACTTGATGAACCACTGAAACGATTTTGCAAACATTATTTTAAGGTAAAAAATCTAACTTAGTGTTGCATTAAAGGTACACCATGTAAGCTTTTCCCCCCCAAAATTAACAAAATGTACAAAAAAAAGTCAATACATCAATCCTTCTTCCAAAACGTGTTTTTGTCTTACCCTGATTCACTAAGGTAAGCCTATTATAAGTGATTATATTTTAGACCTGACAGGATGGTTTTTACAGGAAATTGCGTGAATACATCACTCGCCCGTGTGCGTCTCATCGAATCAGTAAATAGAGAAAAGTTGCTCCTCCTACTTTGACGCGTGTCTGGTGTGTGAGTGGCAGAGGTTAGTTGTCACAATGAGTGAGAAAGGTTGACATGGAGCCGCTAAATCACAAACCTCCAGAGAATCACACAAAAAGAGAACGCGACAGAGCTCGTAATAAAACATGAATCAAAATTAGCTTGGCTTTTCGGAGATGCGAGAACTGAGGGATTTGAAATGCTGCAAAAGCGACGCAGAGATGATGGTGAAAAGCTCTCTGACAGATCATTTTAAATCATTATCTATTGTGAAGGGTGCTAACTGCTAGAGGGCCACAAGTTTCATAATGTGCCTTTAAGTTAAAAACAGGGCAGTTATTTAAAACGCATGGAAGCCATCTGGTGGAACAAATAAAGAAAATCATATGTAATATCATGGTGTAACCACTGTATAGCCCTATATATTAAATTAAAGTGGCAATAGTGTTTCCTTCACTATTGTGATGTATATCAAAATAAAATGTAGGGTGGGACTTGATTTTGTCCATCTAGAATTGACTGGATTGATGTTTTTTGTTACTGCTGTAATCCCCATGTGATTGAGAGATTAACTCCCGCCAGTAAACGTCATTAGAGAAGAGATGACATTGGAAGAGGAAGTTATTTTTATTAAAGATTTAAGAGAGTCTGCTCACTGCAGAGCCATGGGTGGAGTCAGTGTGAGTATTAATTATAAATAGCATCTAACTACTATTATTTACACCTATTGCAAAGAAAATACTGCTATTTGTACATAGTGCAAATATAATCTAATGCTATTTGTGCACATAGCCTCTGCCTTCTTATTATAATTATAAATAGCGGTCGATACTATTGGCACCCCAGTGTTGTTGTACATAAAACAGTATGCAATAATCGCATAGAGTGTAAATGGTTATATTTATTAAAATTATTAAATGGATGCTGCCTTATTGGGAAAATAAAGCCCTCCCTACACCTAACCGATAAACACTTTATTATTAAACACACATTAGACACTTTATTTCCACTTATTGAAAATAAATGCCTTTCTGATCTGATATGTAAAGGGGAAAAGGGAGTAGAGCGAGTTGGGCAAAAGGTGTATTCGAACTGTATTCGGTTTTGATACTGATGATAATCCAGCATCTTCCCTAGTTTTGTCTGGCCCAAACAGTGCAGTTAGTGTAAATAGCCTCTGCCAACTAGGTGGGCTACTTGCACTTAATGTAAATAGACACTCCAAAACAAGAATGGTCATTTTATTTCATATTAGGCCTAGACTGAAAGTGGACCCCATCTTCGCCTTTTGGAAAAACATCAGATTGTCAATATTACACTCAATATTATTGAGTAAATGCTGTTTTTGGTGGAACAGATGATACTTTATCACTCACCCTTAACCCTGCCTCGGTGAGCTCTAAGCAGTAGCGGGTTCCCTCTCTGATTTCCACGTTTATATAGGCCACATCTAGTCCGCTGGTGAGACTGTGAGAGACGTGCATGTCTGTGACCGCGAAGAGCACATCATTGACCACCGCCTCAGCCTCCAGCCTCATGTCCTTCACCTCTCCCAGCTCCACACAGCGCTCCTCATACGAGCACTTACACAGCTCCTCAGGCGTACAGTCCACCTCCATCCCCTAAACACAACAGCGTATGAAGTATCAGACAAACGGCATGTCCATAAACAACATCTGACGTCACCTGATCATGAGGGGGCGCGAGCACTGTACAGTCATGCTACTAGCTAACGCCGCAAATTCCTCAACTGACAAGTCACAAAGTACGTTTAACTCTTAGTAAGAGTAACATTTGTGGTTGTGTGTGTGTGTGGAAGAAACATTTTAATGCGAATCATTGGTGTTATGTATGATGTAACTTGCATAAAGACAATCTAAACAAATATGAAGTGTTAGCTAACAACATTTTTAATGCAAATCGAGGCTCTTGTAGCGCTTAAGTTCAATATGACGCCAAATCCGGGTTATATTAACAGAATAATGGTATCATGGCATACATAACAAGTTCATTTGTTATATGATAAGGTCTAAAGCGGTTTAAGTTTATTTATTAACATAATTTTATGAGTTACTAACCTCCTCCTGAGGTGGTTCGTCAGAATACTTCCGGCTCATGCCGGCTAGGACTCATGTGTGTCAATTATGCGTAGCATTTGCGCAGAGCAACTTCTGCGTATCCGCCTCGACTAACATTACAGAATCTGCGATATTTTAAGAAACACATTTATCAAAATATAGTAAAATATCTAAATCTATAATTTAGCTGTAAATGATAATGCAAAGCTAACCGCTAAATTCCTTACATAACAAAATGTGGGTGGATGCGCGAGCTTTGGGGGCGGAGGGGCTTCTAGAGAATTCTTTATTTTCCACAAATAACATCAATGCATAGTTATAGTTCAAAGAACTGAATACATTTAATTTACTTTATTACACTTTATCATTTATCATGTTACATTTAGTTCATTAGTTGTGTTATTCTGTTTTTCGTTATCTTATAATTATAAGTGTATTCCAATAGTGACGCCACTTGCATTTCCACAAGTGTTCCTACTGAAAATCACCAATGAAATGTACTGGATTGTACATGCATGAAATGGAACTTATTATGTCATCAGATTCCATTATTCCCATTAATTCATAAACTTGGCTTAGAATGCTTAATCACTCACCAGCGAAAAAGTAAGTTGAGTTAGTTATTAAAATGAATTTAGGATGTAATGTTAAAAGACGTATGGTAATCAGCCATGATGAAGTTAAACATTATAAACAGTGGCGAATAAATTGCAGAATTTTGGCCCGTTTCAGAAAAATAATATGCTGTGCTGTGTAGTATCAGTTTGAAGTATGTAAATACAGGGTAACGGATTAAAACAGATGTAAAGAAATAGATAAAGACATGACTTACAAACCTTGATATCAGATCAATAACTAAATCCATTACACCATTTAATTTGAGCCTTCTTACCACCAAAATAAAGACAAAGATATGACTTACAACCCAGATATCAGTATGTAAATACAGGGTAACGGACTAAAACAGATGTAAAGAAATAGACAAAGACATGACTTACAAACCTTGATATCAGATCAATAACTAAATTCATTACACCATTTAATTTGAGCCTTTTTACCACCAAAATAAAGACAAAGACAAAGATATGACTTACAACCCAGATATCAGTATGTAAATACAGGGTAACGGATTAAAACAGATTTAAAGAAATAGACAAAGATATGACTTACAAACGTTGACATCATATCAATAACTAAATCCATTACACCATTTAATTTTAGCCTACTTACCACCAAAAATAAAGTGCTTTTACTATTCCAATCCGTAGTAAAAACAATTCTGGTAACTGAGCGCGTGATCTGCGCAGTGACTGCGCAGCGCGGATGCTCGTGAACACATCGCGCGCATGGAGCGGCGCGCGAGAGTGCGCAGTCACGAGCGTGTTTGTAAACACCATCATTAGCCTTATAAGCAGACACACAGAGATGCTGCTTTCTCACGACCTGACTTATAATGCGCCTGAAGACTGCCATCTCCAGCTGAATATAGATAATATCAACGAGCGATGCATCAGCTGAAGAGACTTAAGTTGAATGAAGGTATAAAGGATTGTGTTTAGCCAGCATGCTAGTTCACCCTAAGCCAAGGAACAACGGTTAATCAGCTATTTTATAATACAGGTGAGTTATTTTTCTCTGACAGTCTAATTTTGAATGACCACTGTACATACGAACAAACGGTAAACATGCTGTTGTGCAGTGTGTCTCCGTGATTTGACATTGTTAGCTGCAAAAAAACAAACTCACCAACCTTAATTGCGCAAGCACTGCTGGTCACTATACTGTACATGTAAGTTAGATATATGGGGTCAGACAGCAACGTCAGGCATGCCAGACAAATAAATACAACCGCAAGTCATTTAAAACGAGCTCATCATCATCCTCACCACATTTTCTGATGTTGTTCTAAAGGCATTGAGTTGCTAAATGCCAGTGAATTGATTTTCTGTGAATTGATAGGTTTGTTAAGGTAGTCTCTGGCTTTAACAGTTGCATCAGTGTATTGAATTACTAGTTCCACAGATGTAATTTGTTCAGACAGCCACATCAGTTGGCGGTCTTCATTAGTCATCTAGAATCAGAGCATGTATTTATACTGAATCATCAACAACCCTTCACTGAATAATTGTGTGGGTGTGTGTTTTCAGCAAAGCAGTTTCAAAGTCACAGAGAATGAAGATAACTTCTTATCAATTCCATGAGAATTTTTTAGACTGGCTTGTGTGTATTATTTATTTTATAAACTGTCTGTTTTTTAGCATACTGTTCCAGCTTAATACAAACTTCGCCACCAAACCACACCATCCACTGCAGTTCACAGTGAAACGCTCTTAAGTCTGTGGCATTTATACCTTGGATGTCCTAATGTGTTTCAGTACACACTGAAGCCAAGAGCTGGTCAAGATGCCGTGGCCATTTTCTGAGTCCATTAAGAAGCGGGCCTGCAGGTACCTGCTGCATCGATATCTGGGAAATTTCCTCCAGGAGAAGCTCAGTTTGGACCAGCTTAGTCTGGACCTCTATCAAGGCACGGGCTCACTCGCTCAAGTGCCGCTGGACAAATGGGTACGTTTTCTACTGTGCTGTTTACCCCTATTTGAGTCCATAGAGAACAAGCTCCATGAAATCAGCCTCAATGTTGAGAGAAGATGTTTTTATCATTTTTAAAAAAAAATTATCGATGGGACCAGATTGTTTATACCTGTTGCCAAATAGGCCTTTCCAGGATGACACTCAAGTTTTTAATATTATTAGAAAAAGATCCAGCAACATATTCTTTTTGTCAAAATCATTTATCATTGAAGCATGTTTTATTAAATTGTGCTGTGTTTAACCTTGTGAGAAACGCTTTGGAAGAAATTTTTTACAAAGATAATAAACCAAATATAGTTTTCCAACCCTCTACGGACACACTGAATGGCGAGTCAACATCGTCTAGTAATTATTTTTAATTTTACTCGCCAGACTTTTTACATGGAATGCAAGAACAATGGAAATGAAAAATTTCTATATAAATATAATAAATTATAAATATAAATTTCTAATATTATTATAGACAAGTAAACGGTATTATAAAATGACAAATAATCAAACTACAAGCAATAGCACAAAATAAGCAATAGAACAAAGACAAACATGAAATGTCTTACAACAGTTAGATACAGATTAGGTAAAGTACAGAAATTGAATAAAATAATCAAATGTAAAATGGCACTGCATAGTCTAAACTGTATAAATTAAATATAGATGAATCCTTATTTAAAGTTACAAAAGTTGTTCAGTCAAGAGCAGTGAGTTATTTTATTGAGTCTTTTGTTGTTTGATTAACATTCAAGGGGTCATGAACTGGCTTTTTAAATTTTTTTATATTGTTGTCTGAGGTCAACTTATGACGTTCGCTTGGTTTTTACATTCAAAAACATCAAAATGAATAAGTAATAGGCTATTTTCTACCCTAGTTTTGAGCCTAGCTCAACAACGCTCGGTTCTCTTTCATGTGTTCTTGTGCATGAACAGACAATTTCACACAAAATTATGACAAAATTCCCATCTTTGCGAGTATCCTATATCCAGTATTAATATATTGGATCTGCGCATTGTCTTAAAGTGACAGCAGCCTAATATTCCTGCTGCTTTTTAAAGGGGTGATGAACTGAGAAATCAAATTTTCCTTGAGCTTTTGACATCTAAGAGGTCATCATATTATAAGAATATCCTGTAAGTTTCAGAACTGAAAACGTCCTTGTTAGTCCAATAAAAGCTTTTATTGACACCAGGCTTAGCAAACGACTTTCGACGTTTTTCAAAGTGGGGAATTATGACGACAAAGAGGATAAAACACCACCCCCGCAGAAGAAGATCAACGCCTACTTCAACACGGCCGGTTTAGCCCCGCCCCCCAATTCGCGCATTACACGCATAGCTAAATAACATAGGCCTACCTCATTATAATATGCAAAACTGTTATCCACTCACAGCAGTGGGCGTTTACTTCCAAGTCTTCAATGCGAGACGCCCATAAAAACTCAGTTTAGTATTCGTGTGCTGTCAGACGCGGCTTTTCGGGAGCGCTTCGAATGCCGAATTGAGTTCCCTTTCGCGTCTTCTTGCGCTTGAATGTTTAAATTGGCAAGGCTTAAAACACATGCAAATGATCAACTTTCATGATGATGCAGCACTGGTACTCTCATTGAAAAGGGTTGTTTTAGAGTTTTTAGCAAAAATAGATTTTTTTAAAATCCTGATAGTTTGCCACACAATTTTCTCGCAATGAAAATACCCAAAGATATAGAATAGACATGAGCAGATAAGTTGAACACATGATTGAAATTTGCTATATCTTATCTGAGTGTAGCACCAAGGGAACATTCCATTGCCAGATATAACTGAGAGTGGTTTACGTAGTAATATTTTATACTTATCCCCCTAAAAATCATCAAAAAGGATGTTTATCTGCAGTTTACCTTCTGTGACTTTCATGTCTCATGCTTCTTCAGTCCCTGAATGAGATCCTGGAGTCTGTGGATGCACCGTTTGAGGTGAGTGAAGGCTTCATCCAGGCCATATGTCTCACTGTGCCATGGGCCTCACTGCTCCAGGACAACTGTGCTCTGGAAGTGAGGGGCTTGGAGATGGTGTTCAGGCCAAGACCTCGAATGGGTAGGAAGCATCTTTCAAATCGCTTTCTCTTTAGATGATTATCTTTACAAATGCTTTGATTGCAATGCTGTGCATTCTACATTTCTGTGTTTTGTAAAGTTTGTTCTTATTTATAAAATCTTCACACTCTAATATTTTGTATTTAATAGTTTGTATTTTTATATTGTATACTATTTCTGTCTAATGATAAATTTTTGTAGTAGTTTTAATACACAAATTGTTTTATAATACTTTTTCTCTGGCAAGTGACAGATCATTTATTTTGTATTTAGATGTATTGTCTGAGTGAAACAGATTATTGAAAAAACAAAGTGTGTGGGCTAGGGACTTGGTTCTATCCTATGGTTGTTGATTAGATGAAAGCAGATCTGAATCCAAGCTTGCAGGCCATTGGAGGAAAGGGCATTTATACAGACAAAATTATTAGAGTAGTCCGATACATTATGAGAGTAATTTCCCTGGAAGATCCAATTATTTTTTTTGATTAAAAAGTACGAGGTCAATTGATTTTAAGTGAAACATATGCATGAATGAATTGTTTGATTTGATTTGATTTATTCAACAATGATCTTAAACAAATACAATCATGCCAAAGGCAATTCATACACATTTCAAGACAAATTGTCGAGGATAAAATACACAAAAAAAGCCTCAGGCTTATTTCCATTGTGGTCCTGTTAATTAAAGTGAAGTGAAGTGAATTTCCATTTTATGACTACTTTAATGTTGTGTATGCCCATTGTAAATCTTTTTTAGCATCCGGCATGGAGCCCATGTGCTGGTCCAGCTTCATGACCAGCAGTATGCAGCTGGCCAAAGAGTGTCTAAGCCAAAGACTCACTGATGACCAGGGAGAGAGCTTCCAACCTCTGGAGGGTCTGGAAAAGTTTGCCGAGACTATCGAGACTGGTATGCCTCTTCCCGTAGACCACAAAATTGTTTATTTTTTGTGTTTTGTTTTGTATAGAGCTCAAATATATTTAGTCTGATTCCCTCTCAATGACAGAACCTTTCCCTGTTCTCTCTGTTAGTGTTGAGAAGAGTCAAGGTCACTTTTGTGGATACTGTCCTGCGGATGGAACACATTCCTGAAAATTCGAAAACTGGCATTGCCCTCGAACTCCGAATCAATAAGTAAGTTCTAGAGCTGTAACTAAATATTTTCAACACAACAACATGATATGTTTACATATGAATCATCGCCATGCTGTCTGTACATTTTGTGATATTTAGAATGGTTTACTGTGATGAGAGCGTGGAGGAGGGCTCCAGTGTCAATATCCATCAGCCTACTACATTTGCACATAAAAACCTCACTCTGGACGGAGCCTCTGTGTTCTGGGATGAGTTTTCAGAGTCGGCACGTGCCGGCCCCAAATCATCGCCCACTCAAACAGTGAGTTTATCTGTTCTGCTGTAATAAACAAAATTACAGGTTTTACCCAGGTTGTGGTGCAACCTAAGCCTAACTTAACCCTATTAACCCTTAACCCTAAGTACAGTGAGTTTTTGTGTAACTATTTACCAGTACAATTCCAAAGCCCTCTAAGACAAATGTTCGGTAACACTTTATTTTACGGTGTCCTTGTTACATTATGTTACATGTACTTACTGTAGTAATAACAGTAAATTATGCATAATTACATGCAACTAACCCTCAACCAAATCCTAATCATACCCTATTCCTATAGTAAGTACATGTAGTTACTTAATATTACTCTGTACTTAAATATATAATTACACTGTAACAAGGACACCTTAAAATAAAGTGTAACCAAATGTTCTTTATACATTTAAGGATACTGAACCCAAGCTTTCACCAAGTTGGAATCC